TGCTGTTGAGTTAGTCCACGTCGAAAGTTGTAGAAAATAATCGCGCGAAAATGCTCACGATCCAACCCCATGACTTGGCCTATACAAAATCTTATAACTTAGTGTAAACAACACAAATCGCGCTCAAATTTTGCAACCTAACCTCAAAATAGTCAAACTTTACGATAGTGTTGTCAGTTGTTAGATTGCTGCACTATTGTTGCCAAATCTCAAAATATAAAAGGCAACCCTCGTAGGAGGTAAAAGGCGAGGAAGCCCATTCACGCCACTTGGGAGGCATCGATTAGAAGAACATCACGGCAAAGATTTTGATATCAAATGCAAAATCCTAGCTTACGAGAATGAGATCGGTGCCAGAAAGATGTTGGAAGCGCTGTACATCCGCGAGAGGAATCCTAAGCTGAACAACCGAAATGAGTGCATTGCCATAACGAGTGAACTTCTGCCATTCGTACCCTTTTGTGGGCTTTGAGATCACCGCGTAATTCTTATCTCACGACCGTCAGTGGTGTCTCATTGTTCCCCTTGTTGTTCACGGAATAGAGTGAGACGACAGCACTGGTGGAACCGCAGAAGGTTGGTTTCTTGGCTGGGATGTTTCGGTGGTCGAGTTTCCGGGAGCTGTTGCAACTGGCCTAGTGCGTTTGGGCGCTTGGTCGGGTAAGCCATAGATCAGGAGCTTCGAACTACTTTCAGGTCCCTGAAGACGACGAGTTAGTGGAAACGTCGACCAAATAAACGGTTCCATCACAACAAACCTGTACGGCAAAGAATTGTGAAATGTCGTGCTGAGAGGGTTTCTCTTAACCCAAGAGTTTGCAACGAAAGCGGAGTGTCCATTGCCAAAAAGTAATGTTGTATGTGCATTTCGTGGTGGGATCAAAAGGGTTTTGTGTACTATGAGCTGCTGAGCGCGAACGAAACTGTTACTGCTGACCGCTACGAACACCAACTTGACAGCTTGTAGTATGCACTCACCTACAAGCGGCCGTTAATCGCAAGAAAATATCATGAGGTGCTGTTCCACCACGAACATGCCAGTCCCCATGTCGCTGCTTGTTAGCCCGCATACTCTCCGGATCCTGCTCTTTCTGATTACCACCTATTGCGGTCCATGCAAGTCACTTTGGCAGATACACGCTTCCGGAGTGAATAACAGGATTGCCTCAAAAGATGGAGACTTTTCTAGACCCGAACACTACAAGATACCAGAAAGATGGCAAGAAGTTGCAGCTAACGATGGGCGATACATTGTTCAATGTACATTTGGTTTTAATTTTGTAATAAATATGTTTTTGCACGCAAAAAAACGGCGGGAATTAATGCACACACCTAATAGTACCGACCTCACAACACACTTTGTAAAGGGAAAGTCAGTAACTACGAGTCTATTAGAATCGCTCAATGATTAGACGATGGCCTCAGATAATGAACAGAGTGTGGGCGTAATCTATTTCGATTTTGTAAAGGCATTTGATAAAGTCAGTCACAAGAAGCTGTTGTATAAGCTGCAGTTGCTTGGATTCCACGATAAAGCTTGCAGATGGATACAAGTTTAGTGACAGAACATTTCAATGCGTATAAACTCTGCTTACTCTGATGATTTCAAATGTCAAATTGGTGTTCCACAAGGTGGAGTATTGTCAAAAATACTGTTTATTATTTATTCGGCTAACCTGGGATGCTGCTGTAGCCAGTTTAATGTCGGTTGCAGACAATATGCTGATGATCTGAAGTTCTATAAAGTCATAAGGACTTTTCGGGGATTCTCTTGATTTACAGGGTACAATTGATGGACTAATTCAGTGGTCTGAATAGTGACAACTCCCTCTCTCCCATACTAAGAAGCTTCATATGCGTGTAGGTTCCTCCCTTGGTAGTACCTCGTACTTCATGAAGGGCGTCGAGATCAAGAAAGCTCTATACCGTTCCGTACGCACCAGATCTTTAGGGCGCTCACCACAAAGGATACAAATGTATTTGTTCGTGCGTGTAAGTCCTATGTCCGTTCACTTGTGGAAAGTGGGACCGTCGTTGTCTGCCCAAAAAAAAAGAAGAACATTGTGTTGCTTGAAAGGGTTCAGAACAGTTTCACTCGGAAAATTTTAATTAGCCAGGGAAGTTTTCTGTATTCAAAAATTCCTAAGGCCGTAGTTAGAAACAAATATTTCAATTCCTTCACTACAGTCTAGGCGCAAGCTCTTTGACTTGTGCATGATACACAGCTTGCTGACATTCAAAACCGCAGTTAATTTTGCGGATTTCTTCTCACTGATTCCTTCCGAGGGGGTAGTCAGCTCAAATTATCCTCTTCTAGTCCTCTTCTAGGCTCAAAAGAACCATAAGGAGAGACTTTTTCACCGTAAGGGCTGGTCTTGCATACTTGCAAACTAGCAAGGCTCTTAGATTCCAAGGCTCTCTGAGCTCCTTCAAACGGGCAGTTGGTAAAAATATTTGACAAGCACAGTTGCTACCTTTTTAAAAATTTGTTGTTCTATTGTAATGTGTTGTGTTCCTGTCGTTGCTTATGTTTTCCTTTTCAACGCTGTCTTATATGGCGTATATGATAAATAAATAAAATAAAAACCAGGCGCCATACAATTCTTCATCGACGAGATGGCAAGACGAATTCCGGAGAGAGAACTGGAGAAAGGACATAGTTGAAATGCCTAGGGGTAGCTAGGCTAGTAACTGTAGCTCTCGAAGAGACCAGAGTAGGAGTCGTAGATGATCATTTTTAATTCTTTGAGATGTAGTAATTGGACGAAGGGAAGTCATCTTGGCTTTGGCGAAATGGCGAAGCTCTGACTTTGCGAATGTTCTTCCCGGCTGAAGTCAGTTTAGCCTCCCCTTCTGAACACTGGACTAAATGTTCGACGAATTAGTTGTCGACAACAGAATCCTCACATAACTCGCAAATGAAGCGGAGTGGTTTCGAGTGATGACGGTCACGGGTGTGCTCCCTGAATTGTGTAGCTCACTCTCCACGCATTGGGAATTGGAATCCAGCGCGAAGAGGGCGATGTCTGAGTCAGAGTAGAACTTTGGAATAACACCGTCATCAGTCAGGCACAACTTTTAACGGGGAATGATGGGATCTAATTCGTTTTGGAACTATTCACCAAGTGACTCTCAATTCATCGTAATCGGGAGGGCTTCTAGATGGTGTAGCATGACCTGATAAAGTCGGACAGCCTTCACCCTCTTCATTCCATTCCGTCCCGTTGGTTCCGATATGTAGCTCTTCAGGCGTTCTCTTGAGGTCAAGTTCAGGGTAGCGACAGTGGCCTTTAAGAAGTAATTGATCTATCTGTAGAGCCTTTCTCAGGTCCATAAAAACGCCTTCAGCTCCTCTTTTTCGCCGCTTGATGTTCGTGCGTGGGCGACAAAGATTGTTTGTCTGTTTGTGCCACATCTTCTCAACCGCGGGCGGGATTCGGGTTGTTAAGTTTTCATACGAATCGGTGTTTATGGCCAAATGCGTTTCAACGAGGGCATATTCACTCTCCTGTCGCAGGTCCAAAGAACAGCCCTATTTCAAATCAAAATCAGCCCTTCTCCAGTTCGAAATCAGCGGGCCATGCCTTCTCGTCTCGGTCATTCAGTGACTTGATCCTTCTGGTTTGCATCATCAGGTCTCCCATAAGAGCTTGCGTTGTAAGCGTTGGTGCACTGGCACTACAGATCACCACCTTAATCCTTCTTTTAGGCAGCCTGCTATGACCTTTAAATTTTTGATCTTTCCCGAGCAGTCCTTCCGAGCGCTAATGTATCAGGGCTCCTTCACCTTCAGCAGATGAGGCCCATTTATATTACTTGAATTTACATTTGAATAGCCACAAAAACCTCGCCAGGCACTTTATTGGAGGGTTGGGTAGACTCCGAGTTTGCGAGGAGATAGAAGATGTAAATCGATCCAACACAGCAGAAATAAGTAAAGGCATCCCCTGGCTCCACCTGCGTCTCTGACCTGGGACGGGTGACTTTTGATTTGCGAACTATCCCTAATCACCACCATCGGTCGCGCCAGTAGCAACGCCATCAAAAAGCTGAGTCCTTTAAAGAGGAGACCCTCAGTGAAGGAGTTGTCAGCAGTGGCAAGTGGCGCAAAATCACACAAGCGTGGTCCAGGGTTCGAATCTAGGGTCGTCACTCACTAAAAAAATTAACAAAAAGAAATCACAAAGAAAAAATTAACACGCCAGTGCTTTGGACCGCAACTACGATTCTGGTAGTCGGATGCGGAGGCGCATCCCTAGTACAGGTTTGATTATCGTCAAACACTTCATCCTTTATCTTTGATCTTTTTTTGAAAGTTTCGATATGTTGCGAAGGGGAGCAACACGAAGGATTTGGGCATATGGTCTCACCACAATACACCTACATATCTTTGCTGTCTGTTCCTTGAAATCAAGCGACGTGAAAAGTAGTCGATGCCCTAAAAAGATAGCTAAACTACCGAAAACTAGATTTTGCACAAAAAAGAAAAGTAGGAATTCATAATGAAGACTGGAGTCAGCGTCTCGAGACGCGTACACCACTGCACATATAATTGCGAATGGGCGAACTGACCTAATGACCATTATTTGTAAACAAATCTGAAGTTAACTAAGACTAAAATACTTGTCAGAAAGAGAGATTCAGCACGGGTGGTCTCGCAGCATTTATAGTACGTGTCAAATAAGCTGCCTTATGATATCAAGACAATAAGAAAAACAAAAAACTGGAAATCTTTGCCAGATATTCCTGCACCATTTTCATTGATGATATACCTTACCATTGGAATCAAATCCTGCAATAGACAAGAATTGCCGTATTCTGAAGATCTGGTGTTCAACGAGCGCAAGACGGAGCAGCTGCCAAGCGAATGACTTCGGGTTTGTATTTTCATCACTAAAGATACACTGACAGAGAACTGTGACCCATACCAGTACATACAGCAAGCACTTACAAAGATAAAATGATAGGCAAATTCGAGAACTTACCTCTCGTGACCTACCGTGCTGACCGCGCTATATTCGGCTTCATCGTCAGAATCAAAATCGATACTGTATCCAGTGTTCGAAGCCACGGAGGGCTGAATGCACAACCCTCTTCCAATGAGATATTTGAATGAATGACCGCATTTCGCAAACCTTATTTGCAAAATATCGCACAATATCGTTTTTGGGTGGTATCCATTCAGTTTCAAACTCCTGTATCAAAGATGAAGGACGCACATTGATGACTTCGGGCAACGGTTCATTCGGCTGAACTAACTGAAGCTCAAGCTAACTCAGTCATAGTTGTTTAACCTAGCTAAAATGTATGACCGATGCGAAAGAAAAAGGACCTTGTCGTGCAAATCTGTGAACAATTTTCCTTCATGAGAACAGGATGAGCCAGTAGACGACTGCGGAATCGAGACGAATGGATCTTGAAAATAAGATGCGTACAAGGGCATAGGATCATAAATGTTGATTACTGTAGCAATTAATTAAAGTCTCTATGAAACTTCTCCTATCACACTCGAACAACTCGCTTACTACCTGGTCTCCCGTAGATACCGTGGTATAATGTCAAGAAAATCACACAATATCCTCTAGCTAGAGCCGTTTAATTCGCAAATTTTTCCTGCCGCAAGACAATATGAACGAGGAAACCCCACTCGTTGGAGGGGAACAAAACATTGAGTCTTTCGTGAGCAAAAAAATAATCCCGCTTTCGATTTACTTGCTCTTTGCCCCTTGTTACTACAGTGATGTTCAGTCCGTAGCGTCAAGAAATTTAACCCTCAACATTAAAAGCGGAGTGGTCTGACACAACGCTTGACGGTTTATAAGATTGGGTGCGTAAAAACCGCTGCGGGCGGACACATTGAAGATACTTTTTCAGCCTCATTGAATGAAAATAAAGAAAGAAATGGATACGCAGTATGTTGAGGGAGTGCGTGAGTGACTACTTTCTCATATTTCCTCGTATCAGCGAGCTGCACAAGAACTCTGGTTTCAAACGCATAAGAAGAAGTGATTCTCAAGATTAGTGCAAAAATGTCAAGAAAACGCGAAAATCGGCAAGTTTAAGAAGTGTAAGGCTCCAAAAAGGTAATAAAATCAGAGGTTGGACGAGAATGCGGCAAGAAAAGTTGCTTAAAGGGGATTCGGGCGAGATGACCAAATAAAGTTGCTCTCTTGTCATATCCTCGTCCGAATACCCCTTTCATTGCGTACAGCTGGCTACAGTGAGGTGCTTGTGCGCAACTTGTGTGTCCCAGTGCGAATTGCAATGCAAACTCTACAACCTCTACAACGCCATGAGAAGTCGTTTTTTTGGATGTGTACGTTGGCTAAGCTGGTTCTGGAGCCCTTTTTACGCCCCATCTGGGCCATTTTTCCACCCGACAGCGTGCCTTGTGCTAACTTTAGAGGTCACAAGTTCACCCTAGGGAGAGGCATCGGCAAAAGTGCTTTGATGTGCCGATCCCTTATGACTCAAGGCAAACGATGTCTCCGGCTGTGCATTAGAGGCACAGTTCACGATAATTTTGGGTAATTCAGATTGTGATGAAAAATGGAAGACAAGATCGAAACTGAGGTGAAGAAACTGCGTGCATCGGTGTTTCCAAAGTGAAAAAAGGCTTCGAAAAACCTTTAAAAAGGGGGCTGGACGAGAATGAAACCGGAAAAATGAGGAACAGTGGGGCGTCCGGACGAGCTAAATAGAGTGTTCCACTGCGCGCGTGTGGGTCCTGCTGCGTTTAACAGACAATGGTAAGCGAAAACTCATTCACTCATAAACATAAATAAACAAAAAAACCTAGTAACAGCAAAAGTAGCTCACCTTTTTCAGTCTCTAGGAGTAGGAAATTAAATAAGGGATCGCGGCAGCAAAAAGAAAAACAGAAGAGAAAACAGTGGGAGGAAACATCCCCTCATCACTCGGCGATTAGCTGATTGTGTGTGGGTCCTAGAACGAACAATAGCAATCTGTATTGTCTCGACACTCGTCTAACGTGACACCGATCGAGGGGCGGGAAAGCGAACTACGGCAGCAACGGGGCTTCCACTATGCCCTATGCGCCGAGATTGTGGGAGCGAGAGGGTCCCTTCTACCACCCATGGGGGGCGCTGAGTATTTCTAAAGGAAGAACTCAGTAACCTTTTTTATCGTGAACCGTGCCTTTAAAAAGTCGCTTGAGTGATTTAGAAGCTTTGAGCGACCGAGTTCATGATTGAATGGGCTACCTTTCGGTATGGCGACAGATAGCGCCCTGCTGCTGACGTGACAACTTAATGACTCGACATTAACTGATGCGTTTTCGAAGCGTCACAACCTCCTAAGATTCCCTTAAAAATTTAGTTGGATAGAAATTTTGCGATTGGCGTAAATGTTTAACGTCAGGAACAAGTTATCGTGTAGGCCAAGGCGTACACGATCCAACGTGACGTTAAATAACATTAATCGCTATGTGGGGAACCAAGGTCCTTGGAAGTATAGGATAATTACATGTACCAGCCCATACCCACTTCTGCCCTGTTCTTTCCGATTGGGTTTCCAGCCTAGTCATATACATAAAATAAATTCTCCAACGACTCATATGCTAGCTTATAAAGGAAGACATTTTGGTTTGCTCATTGACAAAATACAAGCGCACTAGATTCTGCGAATGATATCAGTGCTGCATGAGTGATGTATTGGAGCCCTTTTACCGCAATTCTTTTTTCCAAGGTTATTGTGAGTTCGTTACTCATTAAGACTATAGGGCTGTCGCTTACTTCGAGTTCAAGCCTCTTAAAGGCACAGTTCTCGATGAAAAAGGTTACTGAGTTCCTCCTTCAGGAATACTCAGCGCCCCAATAGGTGGTAGAAGGTATCCTTTTGCTCCCACAATCTCGGCGCTTAGGGCATAGTATAAGCCCTGTTGCTGCCGTAATTGGCTTTAAAGGCACCGTCTACGAAACAATGGTTTGGGAGATTTGCACATGGTTTGTATTCGACGCTCCCTCTGATACCAATTGTGCAGGAATGAGGTCGGAAAAGGTCTGGATAGGGCACAATAAGGGGCCGGAGAGTGAGCCACGGTCGCCCTCCGCCCCTCTCTAGACTGACTACAAAACATTCGTCTACTCCCTTAACCCCACCTGAAATTTCCCTTGACCGCCGTCTTCCAATTATGAAACTCGTCCAACCTCTTTTTCCTTTTTTTTTTGACCGTTTATATTTCTTTTTTTTTCGCTGTTTTTCGCGTTTTATGCTTTACCATTGTCCTAATGTAGGCCTCACCTATCCTTATCTGCGAAATACCGGACACCCCTAAATTATCGTTAACGGTGCCTTTAACGCCCCTCGATCGATGTCACGTTAGACTAGTGTCGAGACAATACAGATTGCAACTATTCGTTCTAGAACCCACACACAACCAACTGATCGCCGAGTGATGAGGCGACGTTTTTCACCCATTCTTTTTCACTATTTTACTCTTTTTGCTGCCGTGATCCCTTACTTAATTTCCTACTCCTAGGGGGTGAAAAAGGTGAGCTATTTTTGCTGTTACTAGGGCTTTTTGTTTACTTATGCTTACATGTGAATGAATTTTTGCTTACCATAATCTGTTATTCGTACCAGGACCCACATGCACGCAGTGAGACACCTTCTATAGCTCGTCCTCCACTCTTCTTCATTTTTCTGGTCTCATTCTCGTCCAGCCCCCTTTTTACGTTTTTCGAAGCCTTTTTCAATTTGGGAACACCGATTCGCGCAGATTCTTCCCCTTCATCGCACAATTTTCGACCTTGTCTTCCATATTGCATCATAATCTGGATCAACAATATCGGGAACTGTGCCTTTGAGAAGGCACAGTTCCCGATAATGTTGATGAAGAACAACGAACGTTGTACACCACAACAGCGTCAGTTATGTAAGCCATGGGATACTGATATGCAACAGAAGTTCTGCAGTTGAGCAAAGCTCTATTTATCTCTAGTGAGAAGAATCAATGTGCCCTCACAAATAGGACACGTGCGGAAAACAATTGGCTGCAAGTGCCAAAATGAAGGCTCATACAACTCTTACACTCATTGCTAACATTGCTGTGCTGTGGTATGAACGATAGCAACGGGGAGACTGGCCGACGATGAGTCGTGATTTGAGCGGACCAAGAGCGCACAAAAGTCCGTCTACAAATTGGATGAAATCGTTTTCCCTTAATGCCTGGAAAGCCGCGTCAATCACACGGTCCAGGGGTTCTCGTATCCCCCTCTACCGTGAAACGCGAGGCGTACTCGACGCGGCCGACAAGACTTTATTATGGTCACTACACTCGACCACTGCAAGAACAACAATAAAAACCTATTAACCGATCGCCGGCCTTATATAGGCGCTAAAAGGGGCGGAGCCGCCGGGCTTCTGTCATTGGTCCATTGGGAATCTGCCTTGTGACGTCATCGATGGTTGGCGCCTCCATTTATTGTTTGGCAGCGGCGTCCTCTGGTCCTGGATGACGAAACCCGAGAACAAAGGAAACTAGAACAACAAATTTAATACAAAGCAACACATTTTAGCAATTACAATAACAACAATCATTAACATTACATACAACATACCTGCCCGTCGGGGTCGAAGAGTCGTCCCGACTCTCAAGCTTGGCGATTGTTTCCCCTCAGGTACCTTGTCCCTTCCTTTCCCATCTTGTGAGGGTGTGTTCTACTCGTTGGAAAATTCGCTCTTCTCATTTTAGAACTACTCGCTCCCTCTTGGGATGTCGCTCCCTGTTCGCATGGGCTTTCACCGGGCGTCGGAACGAAAACTTCAGGGGGTGTTGTCTCTGCTCATGGTCTGCGATGACGAAGAAATTCGGTTTAAATTCGTTGCGACGTCGCCTCCTCTTGGCTGCTTGCTCCTTCCAGCGTTTCTCCTTGAGCTGGTCCTGCTGGTTTGAACTCTTCCAGTCTGAGGATGTCGCTCATGATCACACGCATTTTCTCCGGTACAAGATAATCCGGCGGCCAATGAATGGGGGTCCTCTTGGAGCGCGGGGCCGTTCTGAGGCAAATCGCAGGATGGGTATACGAAACGGTTTCCAGCATTCCGAGTAGTGGTTTCTCACCACGGCTTCGAATCTTCGATCCGGTATGGTCATGAACCGAACACACTTCACATTTGTGATCCTCATACGGGCTGGGGAAGAACAGAAGTGTCCCACCCGGCTGTAGATTCCTTTCCAGGGCAACTAACAGTTGCCCTGGAAAGGTTCATAGTTCTTCCAGACGGCATCATGTCGGGCCACACTACGATTATGGCAGTAAATATAGGCGGCCTAGCCGGCCGGCCTTATATAGGCGCTAAAAGGGGCGGAGCAGCCGGGCTTCTGTCATTGGTCCATTGGGAATCTGCCTTGTGACGTCATCGATGGTTGGCGCCTCCATTTATTGTTTGGCAGCGGCGTCCTCTGGTCCTGGATGACGAAACCCGAGAACAAAGGAAACTAGAACAACACAGTCTAATACAAGGCAACACATTTAAACAATCACAATAACATCAATCATTTACATTACATACAACATACACGTCTTATAAGTACCGTTTGCGATCAGTGGTACTCCATCGGTAGGCAAGACTATCGTAATGGATTCTATCTCAAGTAGCATTCTATGCAGTCAAATCTGATTTAATGTTTTAAGTTGTTATGCTTCAGATTCAGTTCCAGGTTGAGAAATTGGCAAGTTGTGTTGGCGCGATGATTTAGCTCCTATAGGGTCACGATCTCTTTCAAACCTTCCGTAACTTGAATATTCAGCAAGCCCTGTCGTTTTTAGCAATTTACTCGATAAGGCCTTAAGCCACGATCATTTGTCGTGGTAGAGTTTTTCGTAGAATCCCGCTCAAATAGCGACCTCCGTTGAGCAAACATCCAGGTGATACCGAACAGACCACAACATAGCCATGTTTTCTATATGTCAACAGTATTAGAAACCTACTACCTGCATCAACATCCTGTATGGAAGTTGTATTTGCTCTCGTTCTTGGCACTTGCTGTCAATCGGTTTTTCTAAATGCTCTTAATGCAGTATCAAAATTCACCAAGGCTTGAGAAGAAGGGTATGAACCTGAGAAAAAATAGAGCTCTGCATAATAGCAAAAATTATGTGAACAACTAACATCCCATACTTTATTAACTGTCCTTGTTATGATGTAATGCCGTTCGTAGTTCTCCACTTCCTTTTTGAGAGGCTTGAACCTGTATTGAACGATAACCCTATGGTCTCAGTGCGTAACAAATTCAGAGTAATCTTGGGAAAAGAGATGTGGTAAAGGAGCTCTGATAGCTCTTCCGTGAAGCACGGATATCGTTCGCAGGATCTAGTGCACCTGTATTCTGTGAAGGCGAAGTTCGGAATGACTTCCTTCACAAGCTAGTATATGAGTCAGTGAAGAACTCATTTTATATGACTCGGGTGGAAATCCAATCGGAAAGAATTGGGCAAGAGAGGGTATGGGCTGGTTTGCGTGATTATTGAATAATTTCAACAAGTTTGATTTCCCAGCTAGCGATGTATGTTGTTTTACGTCACTTGGCTTACACGATAACTTGGATCTGACATGAAGCAATTACGTCGAATGGAAAACTTTTATCCAACTGAATTTTTAAGGGACTCCCAGAAGACTGTGATACGCTCTAGAAAAGGATCAGTCAATGTCGAGTCAAGGAATTGACACGTCAACAGCAGGACGCTATCTATCGCCATACAGAAGGTAAGCCAGGTAATCATGAACTCGGTCGCTCAAAGCCTCTAAATCCCTCAAGCGAATTCTCAATGCAGAGCCGGAAGCATCGTTTGCCTCGAGTTATCAGGGATGGGCACATAAAAGCACTGTTATCGATATCTCTTCTTAGGATGATGATCTTGTGACCACCAAGGATAGCACAAGGGTAGAAAAATGGCCCAGATAGGGCGCATTAAAGGCTTCGGAACCAGAATAGCAATACAAAAGGCCGACTTCTCGCGGCGTTATAGAGGCGGTAGAGTTTGTACTACTCGCGCTCGGACACTCGGGCTGCACGCAAGCACCTCACTGTGGCCACTGTACGCAACGGAAGGGGTACTTGGAAGAGGATGTGACAAGAAAAGCAGCTTCATTCGGATCTCGCCCAATTCTCTTTCTAGCAACTTTTCTTGTCACATTCTCGTCCCTGATTTACCTACGTTTTTAACGCCTTACACTTCCTAAAATTGCCAATTTTCGTGGTTCTTTCACCGTTTCTGCACTAGTCTAGAAATTCACTCCCATCATGATGTAATTCTGGGATGTTTTGTTTGAAACCAGACACCCCAATATTACCGCGAACTGTGCCTTAATAGTTAACGTCCAAGTGAGCAAATTGAGAAAACGTAAGCAGCTGCCGAAAATATTGTCCCAGCGATGTGTTGAAGGTTATGCAGATCAGTGTAAGCACAAGCATGAGCAACAATCAAATCATCCCTGGTCATCTTTGAGAGGGACAGGCTCCCAACTTATACACGCATCATGACCACCAATATAGGATAGTTACTGCAGCAGGAGAACATAAACGATCGTAAAGAGGGACGAAGGAGAATAACGACTCAGTTTGAATGGCGCTATGAAACGAAAGTGGAAAGACACAATTTCTGCACGAAAACGGATACTCTAACTGATGAGGTGTAGAGGTGCAATGAGGAACAAAGGGAAAGTAATCACTTACGAACTATCCTCAACATACTGCATATCCATTTTTTCTCTATTTTGCTTTAATGAAACTCAAAAAATATATTCGAAATTATCGCCTAGGTTCTCACGCGCCCCTTCTTATGAATCGTCAAGCGTTCTTCAGTCAGTTGTGTCGGACCACTCCGCCTTTTATATGTTGAATGTTAAAGTTCTTGATGCTACTGACCGAAATCGCAGTTTCGGCATTGCCTGCGGGAAAATTGATGTAACCATATGTAGCAAAGACATAGACACTATTTCTGGGAACAAATTCGTTCTCCTACTTATTTCATTCTCAACGGAACGAATATCTCTGAACGCTTTATCCAGTAGTGCCGCGGGATAGATCAGCTTGAGGCCGAGCTTCAGCCTACGGACGGAGCTTTTATTGATGATGTAGCCATCCTATACAAAGTTCCTAAATTTTTTGAAGTTGTATCCTATTTTTTTACACGCCTCGAACGATTGCGCCTTCATCTTGGTGAAAATTTTTAACTTCCTTGCATACGTGTTTGAGAAAAGTTTTTTTTTTGAAAACCCCGGAAATAGTCTTTTTAATCAGATATGAAAAACGAGTGAATTGATGCTATCTATACAATTTGCGCTGTTGAAGGGTGTTGCTCCGGTCCGAGGACCCCACTGAATTACGATGCCAGAAAAAATATATACATATTTTCTCATCGGGTGGGTTCACTTTCGGAAGTTACTGTAGCGGTGGAACTAGAGTCCTTTCTTTGGTGCTCATACTGCTGTCTATAATAGCCTAATATGTATTTCTTATCATATTATCGAAAAAAAAAACATACATAACGTAAAAGGATACTTTTCATCAGTACTATTCTATTACAAGCTTATATGAGTAATGACGTTTTTTGCAGAGTGGAATTCTTTGATAGAAATAGGATAAGAATTATAAGGATAAAGTTTTTGGCGTTAATCAGTCTCGTCTGAGGGATGCGCCCCCGCACTCGACTTCCATTCAGAATCGTAGTGGCGTGATGAGTGCGTATGTGGCCTATACAATAACTTGCAGTGGTCAGCCGATGTACAAGTCAGTGCTTTTATCCTCCCAGACGTGTCTGGTACCAATTCAACGACCCCGGAGCGTTGGAAGGCTTGGTTGGCCTAGGCGGGCATCGACCCGGGAATTGAACCCCTGACCGTGCGCGTGACATAGTGCGCCACTTGCCACTACACCACCTCCGCCCTTAGAAATAGGATACTATCACTTTTCACAACACTATGACTTCAAGTCATTCCATCAAAGTTTTTGATGAAAACTATACAATCGATAATGCTGAACATAATAGCAGTGAGTCGGAGTCCTCCTCCTTTAATTCTCATACTTCAGAAGAGCAAGGAATACTTGGAAGACCCAGTTTATTGAGCTGTTCTTGCAAAACCTCTCAAAGTGGGCTGCATAAAGAGGATTTCGTTTAATGTTCTTGCAAAATCCCTCAGAGTTAATTGCAAAAAGAGGGTCCCTTGCAAGCTTTGTTTTCAATTGTTTCTCTATCCGCTGTGCTGAGAAATCGGATCAGAATCAACATTGAAGCAGCAAGCTGTGCCTAGATCAACGTGTCTAATGCCTTGGAAGTCTATTCCGTACGATTCACAGAACCAATGGCGTAACAACAATAAGCCTTTATCAAATGGAGATATCATAGAATAAGAATAGAATGTCGATTCTTCGGCAATCGCTAGGTATCCAATAGTTTTTTTTTACAAAATGTGAAATACCCTATTCGTATTATTTCCATAGTCTCCGAAATAACCAGACCATAAAGACCCTACGAATTAGTTAAGTTAATTACTGTTGTTGCTGTCATGATATCAAGGTTGGCAGTCGGATCACCAGGGAAGCAATCATGGATCATTCGTATGAGTTCTGTTCTGGAGGAAACGCTCAAGAGGTTACCCTCCGATTCAGTGGACGACTGTAGTGACAGCTGAATTGTCATACTTGTTGCGCTGTCCACGCAAAATGTCAAGTTGACAAGCTTAAAAGGAGGAGTTTGCAGAATACGCTTGATAGGTAAATGAAAGCAACTGACAAAGCACACCAACCACTGGACGAAAAACAAATTGTCAAAGATTGAGAAAATATCGAAGCGGTTCAAACAATGAACCCCGAGGGTCAGAGCAAAGTGCAGGTATGCCATTATCCGAAACAACTTCAGATGAGACACTCAAGCCACGTCCCGCCGTACTTTCAATCCCCACGTTTCGGTACAACTGTGAGAATGCGATCACTTTTTGGTGATCTCCTATGCCGTCATCCATAAAAGAAATATCAGGAAAATCGAGAAGTGAATTACGAGCTAGTCGTCCTCCATGTGTTCGCAAAGGACACGGGAAGGAACTCCCAAACGCGGCAGACAACTACAACATCGATATCGAAGTTGAAGAGAAAGTATGACAACAGAGAGGCGTTGGTCAATACCCTAAACCGAGGGAGTACACTGAACAGGATTCACCCTATCACTCTTCAAATGCAACGAGAGCGAGAAACCATGATATGCAGCGAACTCGAAGAATAGTTCTATAAAAATTCACTGGGAAAATTCAGCGAGCTGTACTTAAAGGAGCAACGTTACCAGGAAGACTAGAGAACGACGAATCGGCTCCGAGATCTTCAAGAATTCTCCTAAGTAGAAGCCCAGATGGGGAATATACACGCAACCATGGCTGAGAATGAAGGATCAATCTGAAACACTACATCCACTGTCAGAATATTCAAGACCACAGGTAACCAAATCGCGAGAGCATATTCTTGCATTCAGGGTGACGAAAACACGCAAGCGTTCATGCGCCGACCATTTGTCCAAGATACCCTACCGTCAACCAGCGACTGAGGTTGACTAAACGACAAAATCTCTACCTTAACTACGGATTAGCAGATTATCGTTCCGAGGTTCGC